CCCCCATACCAATATCCTCCCCTCACAAAACCATTAAAAATTAGATTAAATAAAAAATCTCATAATTACTAGTATTGAAATATTTAAAGGAAAAATATATTATTGTTTTAAAATAATAGATTGATGTATATAAAAATAAAAGATTTATAGTTTAGATACATGTAGTAGGATAGAAGTAATAAGTATATATGAATAGAAGATAGATAGATAGTTAGAAAGAAAGCGGGATGATTTCTCAGCAGAGGGGCAAAGGTTAGGTTTAAAGTGCGAATGTATTGTATAGTATACGTCCGATAGATAGATAAATATATATCTAGGTAGATAGATAGATAATATATATCTGGGTAGATAGATAGATATAAATCTGAGACCTTCGGTAGATAGATGGAAAATAAATCTGAGTGGATAGATGGATAGATTTGAGTATACAGATGGATAGATTTGAGTAGATAGATGGATAGATTTGAGTATACAGATGGATAGATTTGAGTAGATAAGATGGATAGATTTGAGTAGATATGGATAGATTTGAGTAGATAGATGGATAGATTTGAGTAGATAGATGGATAGATTTGATTAGATAGATGGATAGATTGGAGTAAATAGATGGATAGATTTGAGTAGATAGATGGATAAAACTAAATAGTTATGATAGAACTAGGTTTCTGGTAGATATGCTTAGACTGAATTTTGTTTTTATTACTCCCAGAAATCGCAGTATTCATGTTGCATAAATAACAAATTAATAATTCAGCATTAAAATGCCACATTTATTTGGCTGCAAATGATATGTTTAAGCAATTTTTAAATTAATAATATCTATAACTAGCTGAATTCCAAATTCAAAAGCCACCAGGTCAGGATTAATAAATGAAATCCTTAGCTTGGAACTTTTGAAAGCTCTTTTCTGTTCGCAAGTATTTTTATTGCTAAATCGTATTAATTTTTTAACAATTTAATCTTTATAAAACTTATCATTTTCTATATTTTTTTCTTATATTTGATGTTTTTTACACAATTTTTACACTTGACCTGAGCAGTTGTAAGTCTTCAGATTGAACCTAGCTGGGATTATACATAGTTGGTCTTACTAGATTCTTGATATTTAATTATATCAATGATTTTACCAAGAACAGGTGATTTAACCGAGACAAAATAACAAACATACAAACCGACAGACAGAAGGACCAACTGAAAAACTACCAGATAGAAGGACCAACTGTCAAACTGACAGATAGAAGGACAAACTGACAAGCTGACAAATAGAAGGACCAACTGACAAATCAATAGAAAGAAAGACAAACTGGCAAACCGACAATTAGAAAGACCAACTGAAAAAACAACAAAAAGAAGAACCAACTGTCAAACTAACAGATAGAAGGACCAACTGACAAACTAAAAGATAGAAGGACAAACTGACAAACTAAAAGATAGAAGGACCAACTGACAAACTAAAAGATAGAAGGACCAACTGACAAACTAACAGATAGAAGGACCAACTGACAAACTAAAAGATAGAAGGACCAACTGACAAACTAAAAGATAGAAGGACCAACTGACAAACTAAAAGATAGAAGAAAAAACTGACAATCTAACAGATAGAAGGACCAATTGACAAACCAACAGATAGAGGGACCAACTGACAAATAAACAGAAATAAAGACCAACTGACAAACAGACAATTAGAAAGACCTACTGACAAACTAAAAGATAGGAGGACCAAACTAACAGATAGAAGGACCAACTGACAAACTAAAAGATAGAAGAACAAACTGACAAACTAATAGATAGAAGGACCAACTGACAAACTAACAGATAGAAGGACCAACTGACAAACTAACAGATAGAAGGACCAACTGACAAACTAAAAGATAGAAGAACAAACTGACAAACTAACAGATAGAAGGACCAACTGACAAACTAACAGATAGAAGGACAAACTGACAAACTGAAAGATAGAAGGACCAACTGACAAACCAAGATAAATTATATTTCCAAGATAATTATTTCTCAACTACTGGCAGAGTAACAAAGGACTAGAGAGTAAGTTCCAGAAATCTGGGAGAACTATAATATTAATGAATTGATTAATGATTAACCCTTCAATTCTTTTCGTAAACTCCAACTANCCTTTCGATTTAATTTTCTGAGCCCACGATTTAAAAAAAACTCGAGGAAATAATGCTCGGATCTAAGCTGTCGTTGGACCTTATTTACGACTTGAGTTTTCGGATTCAAGTTGCATCTTATTTTCCATCGAGTTGAATTAAAATAAACCGGTTTAATATTCTATTAAGCGGATTTACATGGCAGGAATTGGCGCATTCCCAGTTTGTATGAGAACAAGACTCAACATTGAGCCTTATTCTCCACTAAGACCAACCAAGGTTGGTTTTATTTTCATTGGGCCTAACTCCTTAAGTCGAGCAGAAGATCTAGCATCTGTAAATCACGTGGCACAAGCTGTCGTCATAGTTGGGTTAAAGATTGGGTCTAAAAGTCGGGTTGAAGGAATTAGGGCTCGAGCCGAAGTTTTTAAATCGCAGGCTTTGAAGCAGTACATTTTTGAAGAGGAAATATTTACTTTAAAAGATATTTCCCAACCTTCTTTTCATCAAAAAGTAAATTTTTATGAGGATTTTATTAGCTGAATTGTAGCAAAAATAAATATTTTTTTTTGTACGAGAATCAAAAAGGACGAAAACACCATTGATGTTCAGTTTTTGTTTCACATCCTTTTTCATAAAAAACGTGCAACATGCATCCCTCCCTTGTTCTGAATTTGAAAAATATAATTTTATTGGTTCTGTTGTTCTTATACTATTATACAAGGTAGTTAGGTGGCGCCTTTCTAATATTTACGAATTTATAAATGCATTAATAAATCAAGCTAATGATGGAAAAAATATTAATAATTATTATTACTATCGGAAAAAACGATCAAAAAACCATAAATGTCATATAACAATGTATAATTTGATAAAAGATCATGGAAATAACAAATATACGTTTGCTAAGGCGCAAATGTTTAAATATTTCTACTACCATTCTTATTTAGTAGATTATTGAAGACAAGGTATGTACACTAAAGTAAGATAGGGTTTCTTGTCTAGGACGTCGATGAAAAGTTAATCAAAGTTCAATAAATGTGGAACTAACATCTACTTTTTTACTCTACAGAGGTTTGGTCCATCACCATCACTGAATTTTAAATCAAAGCATTAACAGTAAATTGTACACAATTTCTATCTTTCCTACCTGTAGTGTACACTCTAAGAAATGTTAAATTTGTATCAAACTAAATTTTGTTGGAGCATAGAAGCCAAATTGAACTTAAAAGTATCATTCGTCAAATTTTGTTGTGTAACATTTATCTCCAAAAAATTTAGTTTTATGAAAATTTAATATTTCTTAGTGTTCCAGGAATAAATTTGCAGGCTTTTATTTTGAGGGGGGGGGGACATTTGCAAATCGATATCAGCTACGCATAAGCTGATCTTTCTTCAAACATTTTCTGGCGTAGCCAAATGCCAATCTTGAATCACAGTTCGTGGAAGATTTACTTGAGGCGAAATGAATTCAAATGTGGACACTAGTGACAAATGTCAGTCTAGGAAATTTGACCTAGGAAATCAGGGAAATTTCAAATGCCAGATTTCCATACATTGACAAATCTGTTAAACTTTTCAAATTAAATTAGTTAATTAAATTTTGCCTTTAAAAGTCATAAAACTGAACTTTATTCAGCTTTTTTTTGTGCAACAACCAGTGCTTAGGATCCATTTCATTCTTTAAGTTTTGCTTATTTTTTCACAAAAAATGTATTCTTTTTGTAAATTTTATTTTAAATTAACACAAAAACTGTATTTTCGATATTTTAGTTAAAATGTCGCCACTTCCAGATTGAGAGAGCTAAAATGTTACGAATCCTATGCACTAAGGCCTACACTATTTGGACCTGTACGTCAAAATGGTAAAAAAATATTTATACGTTGGGGGTTTATTATTACTCTCCTTAACATCAATAGTTACAGCTGTTTGAGAACTCCTGGGTGGAATACCTCCATCCTTAGCATACGCCTGAAATAAATATATTCATATATATAAAGTGTTAATCTCTGTTTGTCAGTATGTCTGTTTGTATGTCCGATCTTAACTCGTAAACACTAGACCGATTTGCCTCAAATTTTAATTGAAACACTCGTTATAACAACTGGAATATTGTTAGCTTGAAATACAAATTTTAATTGCATTTTTGCAAAGCTGGACCCTAAGCTAGTATTTCTACTATTCTAGGTTCTCCATGCAAGGATTAATGTGAAGAGCTGGATATATGTGTTCATATTAACACATATTTTCAGAATTTACTTGTGCGACATTTTGACCTCATAGCTTCCTTAATTTTAATTACACGAATGAGAACAATATACAATATACATATTAGAAATTCATAACATCTTTGTTCTTCTTTATAGCTCTTTAATAAGAGGTGTTCTGACTGAAAACATTTAGGATTTTAATTACAATTTACGTTAGTTTGACATGATGTAAGGATTAATGTGAAGAGCTAGATGTATGTAAGGATTAACGTGAAGAGCTAAGGTGTATGAAAGGATTATTGTAAAGAGCTAGATGTATGAAAAGATTATGTAAAGAGCTAGATGTATGTTTTGTTAAGCATAAGAACTATCAAGGAATCATCAGTTAGCCTATTAAGAGACGACATGTCAACCTTAATCTTTTTATCAGAGAAAACGCTAAAGGAAAACATTTATTAAAAATAAACATTTTTACAACGATATCGTGTTTTTAACTGATTCTATGGCGATTTAGAATTTTCTTTTTTTATCTAACAATATCTAACACATCTTTGATCTGATAAAGTTTTTAATGGTACCGTTGTGAATCGGACATATCCCTTTTTAACTGGCGGGTCCCTCCCCGTTTTTCATCCCATGTTGCCAGCCCCTGAAATAACCGTTCTCCTTTTAAATCTTCAAATCTAGGAATTAATTAAAATTTAAGAAAAATATTATTGAGAAGAGGAAGTGTGGTGAGAATTGTTTTAAGAAAGTTCAATCAGGGGTGTATATTTTCTCGAATATTATTCCCCGCCCCCTTTTTGGAAAATCATTTTCCCCCAGAAGATTTGCATGTTTCGGGGGGGGGGGGGGTCGGCTTAGCATTTTTTAATTTAACAGGAGGGTTAGCCGCGAGCAAAAAACTTCTTTGTTCACACCAGGAAAAACGATTTTCATTCTACCCAAAGTATGTTGAAATAAAAATAAGGAAGTAAAGAGAAAAGTTTGACAAGTAAAGTTGAATCCAATTTAATTAATGTCATTTTCCTAAATTTTATCCCTTCCCAACCAGGAGAAAACACAGAGAAAAGGAAGAGAAAAGTTGGAGATATTTAATATGTTGAAATGGTATAATTCAGAACTAAAAAGGGAATTGAAGGAATTCGTAAAGAAGTTAAGTCATTGCCACAAACTAAAATTTTCGCATCTCTATATCTTTGCAACTTGATGGTTCAAACCTTTGTGGGTTTAATAATAAAAGGAGGGGGATGGGAGGGTGGCTGTGGGTTTAAGATGGAAAGGAGGGGTAGGGAGGACAGGGTTACAGGGACTGTTAGCATAAATTTCAGTTAGCCTCCATACAAAGACATGGCAATGTCCGATTCTCAGCATTATCCCGAAAAGCTTTGTCAGATCAAGTATGAATTAGATATCACTCTTTAGAATTTTAAAAACTAATTATTTTCAATTGTGGGGTTTCTTCGAAAAATGATTTGCATATTTCTCCTGCAGAAAAGCATTTTAAAATCATCAGAATTAACTTGTAAACCTAGAGAACGACAATATCTTCCACATTATTAATCAGACAAAGGTTTCAAGGCATTGCCATCTTTGCATGGAGGGTCACTTGAAACTACACAGACTGCCCCTTTAAGGGGCATAACATCTTACCGTAAGAAGGAAGACGGATCCTACAGGTTTATCAATTTTCTTGTTAAGTGTCACAACGCCTGTTTTATCATCCCATCTGAATATAGAGTATCATTAACATCGCGGTTATAATCAGAGAGAGAATGTTCCAAGATTTTGACTTAAAGATCGATCCAAATGTTTGAATTCGAAGTAGATTGTCAGATTCCAAGTCAAAACAAGGTTCGCTTTGCTGGACATATTTTCAAGGAATTTTTTGGAAAATTTCAGAAAAACAATTATTGGTGTCCTGCAGATAAATAGATAGATAGCTAGCTAGACGGCAGATAGATAGATAGAAAAGATGTAAAAAGATAAAGTTAGATAGTTTCCTAGCTTGCTATATATACGTAGATAAATTGATAGATAGCTAGATTGCACCGATATTTATATAATCTAGTGAAGAGAGCTATCTTTACATAGGTAGATAGCTAGAAAGTTTGCTAACTAGCTATATATATATATGTAGAATGTAGATAGATAGATCAAGAGATAGATAGATAAATAGATAGTTAGATAGTTTGCTAGCTAGGTATATATATGTAGATAGATAGATAAATAGATAGTTAGATAGTTTGCTAGCTAGGTATATATATGTAGATAGATAGATAAATAGATAGTTAGATAGTTTGCTAGCTAGGTATATATATGTAGATAGATAGATAAATAGATAGTTAGATAGTTTGCTAGCTAGGTATATATATGTAGATAGATAGATAAATAGATAGTTAGATAGTTTTCTAGCTAGCTATATATATATATGTAAAAAGATAGATAGTTAGATAGTTTGCTAGCTAGCTATATATATGAAGATAGATAAATAGTTAGATAGTTTGCTAGTTAGCTATATATACCTGCAGATAGATAGATAGTTAGATAGCTATATAAAGACTGCACCGATATTTATATACTCTAGTGAAGAGAGCACTCATAAATCCAAAAGATAAGGAAAACCACTTCAACTTATAGGTTTATAGATAGATAAATAGATAGATATAGATAGTGAATAGAGTTGAACTGGTTGTATCTAGTTTACCTGAAGTATTCAATATCCTGTTGATATTGTGAGGCCTGGAACTCGTATGTTATTCTCTGATTATCTCCTTCATCTATATCCGTAGCAGATACTCGCATTATAGGAGTCCCTTCTTTTGTATCCTTAAAAAAACATAAATTAATAAATTATGAAAAAATTAAATTATACTTTGACTACCCGCCGCGCATTAAAACCTTTATTTCTCCAGAAGTTACCTAACCTGGTGTTTGCGCGGAGTGGAGAGAATTTTTATCGCTGTTTTATTCTCCGAAAATGGGAAAAAATGTATGAATTTCTGGGCCTCAAAAGTATCAAGGCGAACAATGCTTTGAAGGTGCTGATGGGCCCGATGTCTAATCCCATGCGTGGTTTTAGCTGTGCCATAATAAATCAAAAAATTAAAATTTTTCGAATCAAAAACGCTTTTCAGCATTTAACCAATATCACAGAAAATTATAGCAGTTTTCCTTTAATTGATTGAGGGAAGTGCTTCCATTTATTATTATTGTAGATGCATAGAAATGCATCTAGAATAATATGAAAATGCATTTAAGAGATTTGTCCTTGTTCTAAAAGTTGCATCAATATCCCCCCACCCCCCAAAAAAAATCATAAATCCATTTCGCTGTACATTGTACAAATATTTCAAGATCAGAGGCGTATCCGAGGGGGGGGAGACTATAAGGACTCAGCCCCCTTACCCCTGGATCAGTGAAATCTATGATTTTGGGCCCCAAAAAACTTAGCCCACCCTTGACAGAAAAAAATGTAAGCCCCACCCCCCCTTCGACAAATTCCAGAATATGCCCCTGTTCACGTTATTTATATTTGAGGGATAGGAGGGATAGTTGCGCAAAATGGATTGAAGATAGAATACCAAGGGGGGGGGGGATTAAAGGTAAAAACAGATAAACAAAAGACCTGAGGGTAGAAACAAATAGAAATGATCAGTGATGGGGAACATAGGGAAAAAAGGATAAATTTGTTAAAATATGCAATAGTTTTTTTTTATCATTTTTAACATCATTTAATATAAAATAAAACCAGTAAAGTTTGCAAATATTTTAAGAAGCCAAAGGAATATGGAGGACTAGGATGCAATTGAATTTATAAAAAAAATGAATATTATTTTCTAGGACACCCTGTTGATTGGTGCGTATACCAGGACACCCTGTAGGGATGTTTCGTGTGCCCTGGGATTTAAAAAGAAACCTTATTTTTCTAGATATATCAGATTTCAGCTTACTCAACCAATTATCTATAAAATATTCTCC